GTCATAGGTATATTACATGTACCTAAATATGGATTAAAACCTTCACTTCAATGTTAACTTCTGAAAATTTGGACTATATTCATAAGGTATCTAAAATATAGAAAGATTGTCAACTACACAAAAGTAATTAAAATTTTTAGGGACATTTAGTATTGGAAAATAAGTAGCAAATCTACTCAAGTACTTTATGAAAATGCAGCATCCACATATATGTCAGAGTGACCTCATAGCAATGTTCTAAGTGGGCTATTCTTCTACATCAAATCTTTTTTTTAAATAAAGTGGGAGACCATTTGTTTCTAGTTATTACTTAACTACATTCTGTATAAGCTTATGCTAACTACAAAACAGTCGCTACCTTATAGCAAAGCATTTGTTCAGCTGCTGCTAATGATCAGCTTCTTAAAGGATTACTATTAATGCTTCAATACATGACCCTTTTTCCTATGACTAAGAAGCAAGTCTTATTAGCTCTGGCACAGCACCAAATTATTAGGACTATATGGTTTCCAGACCAGGATCATAATTATGGCCTCCAGCCAGCTCAGAGTGTGGGCAAAGCTTGCTCACATCTGTGCATGGAAATGTTTCCTTAAATGCTTCTTCACACTATCTCCTTGACAAAGGAAGCATATCTTATACTTTTCTGGGGTCTTCTGAGGGCAAGGTAGTCCCTGAGGAAAGTACAAAATGCTAGATTACGAGTTTCAAGAAAAGTTCAGAAGGAAGCCAGATTTTAGTGAGGGAACTGGAATCTCCTGCTCATTTTGCCCATGCTTTTTGGGTAGCAGATCGATGCCTTTTTCCCCCATCAGCCTGCAAGAGGCCAATGACATTTCTCATCAGACAACCATGCTCTGCTAACATGTACCCCAGGGTGGCCCTCATGCCCCTGGCAGCTGCACACTTCCAGCCGCAACCTCTACCTCCTGCTAACCAGGTACATGCAGCCGGAAGATGCTTCTCCAGTCTTCATTCTCCTTGCACTGGTCACCAAGTAAGGACTACCAACCTCTCTCAGAGGTTGGGCAATAGCATTTTCTTCAGATTATTCCCAGAATTTGTCCTTGGTGACATGAGAAGCTGTACAGGTTTTTATATAACAGCTAGACTTTCAAAAGCACCAGTGATCTTCCTAAAAAGTGATTTTAGGAATACTAAACCTGACCATCCAGATTTCTTATAGGTATTTATAAGTAGCTTCCATTAACTGCAGGAGCCAGAGACGACTAATCAAGGTAAGGTGGTTTTGCAGAGACACGGACTCTCATATCTTGAAGACAGGACTTGGACAATTTTTTAAAATGCACCCAAGACCTTCTTAAGGCACATCATCTGACAAAACCTGTTTTCACATGCTTTAAATCTGTCACTTTAGGTGTATTCTTCATGCATAGAGACAGCATAGTAACTTGCAGTTGTTATTTGTACTCAGCCTGCATATGAGCTCTAGAACCAACTGTAAAACTATTTTTGCTGTGACAAGTACTTGCAGTTGTGAGGGCAAGCAATCTGAAATTAAATTCTTACTGCTTCCTTTGGACTACACTTAATTAAGGGTAGATAGCTGGTACACTACTACTTCTGTAGGAACATGAACTGGTTAGTATAATCAGTTCTTAAGGGTGTATGGCTTGCTCTGTACTGAAACTAAGTACTGAGATAAATTTGATAATGTATTTTTATAGCATGTAACACAACAGACCCTTTTCTTCAGGTGCTGTCACCACACAAAGAATACCCACATTTTGATTTCCATAAGAAACAAGAAAAGAAATAAAGACGACCCAAAAACCTGAATTTATTTTTTCTCAAACATCTGTCAGCTCCCTTGCAAACGTCTGCTTCTGCATATAAGACAGTTATCTTTGTGTAAGAGTGTGTGTTTCTGTACGTAACATCTTTTGATTACAGTTCATTACTCTTCAGAAGACCTGGGGTCACTCTCTAAAGACCTTGACTGTAAATACTGTTTAGACAACATAATTCCAGATAAAACCAAATGACATATGGAGAGATATAAAAGGATTAATTTTAAGTAACAGAGCAATAATCGCATTTGTCTACTTTAAATTTCATATTAAGACATTTATATTCAGGAATGTACATCACTGTGGTGGAACCTGCCTAGGCGTAAAGAATACGGCAGTCCTCACACCTAGAGTTTGCAATCTAAGAATCACAGGTAGAAAAAAATCATTGAAAGAAGGAAGTATTTGGGGGATCAGCATGAAAGGGAAGTATCAAAGATAACACGCAGGTCACAGTTCATAAGGACCGCAGCTTGCCACCTGCCAAGCCCTTGTCAAGTAAAATTGACATAACAGGCAGATTTTGAGGTGGAACTTGGAGAACACTTTATCTGCAGTTAACCTGCTGACCAGGAGCTTGTCCGGTCAGATGCATAGAACAAAGTGTCAAAAGTGCCTCTGGAAGAACAGAAGATTGAGTGACTGAGGCTGGCAGCAGCAAGCAGAACGAAGGCAGAAATCAGTTGCCTAACAAAAGGATAAGTCTGATAATTCTGGTGAAGCTAACAAAGAAAACTCTGGACAGTCCAGGCTAGTACCCAGGAGCAAGCTGGACCTGTGGCACAGGACTGGATGCAGCACACGGAAGGCTCTGTGGCTCTACAGATATTTCCTATGTGACGCTGAAAAGAACAGGCAACTTTCAGGCCTTACTTTCCCTGTTGTATGCCATGGAGAAAATAGTTCATTTTTTCCTCTGCCACAGTGAAAAAAATCTTCAGGTTTGTAGAGTTGCATCTTAGACGGAGAAGCCTATATCCGTGCTTAGTAATTACTACCATATTAGTACCACCTTTTGATCATCTCATTTTAGACTGGTCACTTCTGAAAAAAGGCATGATGCCTCTGTAATATCTCAACAGGACTCTGATTTATATCATAAAAAACAAACTTCACCTGTTCAAGCACCAAGGGCAAGTGATAACATTTAACAGGGTGACAAAAAAATACTTCACCAAGATGCACAATGCTGTGCATAATTCTGGCTGGAAAGAGAAACCAGTGGTACGGCAGCATCAATAGAAGCTCACTCTGTTTACAGGGAATAAAACAGTGTTTCCATATTGCAGAAAGTAAGAATCATGCACAGCTCCATGCCTTCTGCAGTTACCATCTGGACAAAAAACATCTCCCCACTCCCAGTCTTTCATCCAGGTAGGTCCACAAACAATTGTTAGGAGACAGCACTAGCATACTCATGCCTGTAGATCATGCTCTGGGCTTGTGCAGCATCTGTACAGTTGCTCAGGGAACCAGAACAATGACATAAGTCAGGAGGGGAAAAAACCCCAAACCCCCAACCCCAACTAATCACCTTTTTGTGGCTTGGTTAGTTTTCTATGCAAACAGTTTCCAAACCAGTTGATTGTGCAGTGCACAAAAACCTACACCAATAAATACAAGGCAGATGGGAACAGGGAGCTCAACTTTCAACTGCAGACTAGGAACCCTGCTCACAGGGCTTCTCCAGACTGTGCTGCTGACATTTGGCTGCTTCCAGTGCATTGCTCTTCTCACACCCACACCACTGTACTGGAATAGCGGCCAGAGGAATCCTCTCCCATGTGTGTTTTAGCTTTGGGCAGTGATACACGCCTGGGACCAGAATGGAAGCTGCTATTGTTTTTCATTTCTGACTCCATAAAAGGAACGTTATTGTTTCTCTTACTTTTTTCCACCTCCTCAAAGAGTTGTTCTTATGACCACTAGTTTCAGCAAGTTTTGTTCAAAACTAAAACAGTACTTTCCCAGCTTGCCAAGTTCTGTGCCTTTTTGCAGAACTCTGATGGAAGTGACATGTTAACAGGTCGATCCATGAAACAGTGGAGCCTCCATTCGACTCCCCATGAGATGCTGATATAAAAAAGCATCTTGTTGATGTAAATACATAGGAAAAAATACCCTCAGCACCGTAACTTATGACAGAGGTTGAGTACCCTATACATATGTAAATCTCCCACTTAGTCCAGCAGCTTAGTGAAATAATGACAAAAAAGTTAGCTCTTCAAGAGCATCAGTGCTTTGTTAACATTTGAAAAGCACTTTGAGACCTAGGTGAAAAGCTCCTGTACAGCTACAAGCAGGGAAGGAAATCTCTATCCAAATAAAACTTGAGGAAATGGCCTCAAGTTGTGCCAGGGGAAGTTTAGATTAGATATTAGGAAAAATTTCTTTACTGAGAGAGCGGTCAAGCATTAGAACAGGCTGCCCAGGGAGGTGGTGGAGTCATCATCACTGGAATTGTTCAAAAAACATGTAGACGTGCCACTTCAGGCTATTGTTTAGTGGGCTTGGTGGTGTTGGGTTGATGGTTGGACTTGATGATCTTAAAGATCTTTTCCAACCTTAATGATTCTGTGACTCTGTGGGAAAAGCCACAGCAAAAGTCTTGAAAGTGGCATAGAGGCATTAGGCCTCTCTGCATACAGAGATGAATGCTGGAGCGACCATGCCTTTAAAATTTGAAAGCCACGGCTAAAGAAAAAGAGAAATCTTGCCCTTTTCCATATCATAAGATTGTCTTAAGAAAACAGAGAAGAAACTTATTTAGTTTTCTTTCTTCAGGGCTCCACTAACCCCCTCTTTAGCTGTTAAACTATTTTCAGAAATGCCCATAAAGACCAACCAGCTTTCCTGGAGGAGAATTCATACCTCCTTTCCAGAGATGATCAGTCACAACCTGGCCTTGGTTCACAGGGACAAAAAAGTAACTATGCAGATCACTAAAGCAAAAGGTCGTCTCACTGCATTGGCACATAACCTGCACTTCACCTCCGAATAATCAAATCAGATCGATTTTATCTGATGTGTTGTGTAGGCAACCGGCTCTAGGTGTCCCTGCTTGACCAGGGGGGTTGGACAAGATGACATCCAGAGGTCCCTTCCAACCTCAACCATTCTGGGATTCTGTGATTCCGTACCAGTTTTTCATACAGCTAATATTTAAAAATCTTTGTATGTTACTGTAGTTACCTTTACAGCTAAGATTTTAATGAAGCTGGACAAGAATCCTGGAAAGTAGGGAGGAAAAAATTAAAACATCAAAATAGTTACAGTAGAAATGTACTCTAGGACTCTAACTCTGCATCATGTTTACTGCATCTTGTATTTTATAATGGGAAGATATTAAGAAAGAAAGTAGTTCCACCTGGATGAGCAGTACATAACTTTTTCAAGGGCAAAGGACCAGTCCAAAGGCTACATATCACAAAGATTCCCAATCCAGGCTTCAACTTTGAGGATTTCCTAAATAGGGTCAGGTTTCTCTATGAACCTTGACTTGGACTGTGACATAAAACTACTGAAGCAACTCTGAAAAAAAGATATTACCTAGACCACAATGCTATTGTTCAGGACTCTCCTAAAATCAGCCCAATATTCTCCAGCATTTTTCATTGTAACAGTTTTCATTGGACAGTTTTTCTAGAGTCTTGCAACACCATCAAGCCTTCTTCCTCTTCTGTGTGATTTGGCCATTTAATACCAGCCTGACCACAAATAGGTCTGGGACACTCCTCAAGGCTTGCATATGAATAAATTTGTTAATGCATCTGTTACTGGTTGGTAGCCAGTCAAAAGCATGTATAACTGGTTTCTTATCAGATCACAAGAGCAAGTTTTGTTTTCTCAAGCTATTACAGTCCCTGGATCGATTTCAAAAGAAGCAGGCAGGAAAAAAAATCAGTGTCACCTTGCAATCTAGATACAAATCAGCAGAGTCTTATGAAATTACTTACATTATTTTCTTGATTCCTGTTATTTTGAAGAAGTGTGATGACACAATTGTGGATGAAGAATGCAAGTGTCAGAACCCCTGTGAGCTGAGGGAACAGAATTCTAAACTCTAAGGAAGGAAAAAAAGTGTTAATAACTTACTTTGAAACAAACAATGCCAAAATGCAGAGTATATACAGTGCTATGGAATCTACTGGTGAAAACATGAACCTCCATGTTGAAATGTGTCCTAGTTTCAGCCAGGGTAGAGTTAATTCTCTTCATAGAAGCTAGCGTGAGGCTATGTTTTGGATTTGGGATGAGAAAAAGTTGATAAAGTGCTGATGTTTTGAGTTGTTGCTAAGTAGTCAAGGACAGTCCAGCTTCTCGTGCTGGCCTGCAGCGAGCAGGCTGGGGGTGCACGGGAAGCTGGGAGGGGACACAGCTGGGACAGATGACCCAGGCTGGCCAAAGAGATATTCCATACCATATAACGTCATGCTCGGTATATAAAGCTGGGACAAAGAAGAAGGAAAGGGTGGAGGGACGTTCAGAGTTATGGCGTCTGTCTTCCCAAGAAACCATTACGCCTGACGGAGCCCTGCTTCCCTGGAGATGGCTGAACCCCTGCCTGCCCATGGGGAGTAGTGAACAAATTCCTTGTTTTGCTTTGCTTGCGTGCGCGGCTTTTGCTTTACTTATTAAACTGTCTTTATCTCAAACCATGAGTTTCCTCACTTCTACTCTTCTGATTCTCTCCCCATCCCACCGTGAGGGAGTGAGTGAGCGGCTGCGTGGGGCTTAGCTGCCAGCTGGGGCTAAACCATGACAAAATGGGACACCTATTTTATCTTTGACTACAGGCAATGTAGATATTTATGCAGGGTATTTATGTACTTTCAATGTAGGACGTACAAAATTAAGGCAGTGGTTACTATATAGCACACTCTCCAGCAAAGTTTCACGAGAGACCCCAACAATCAAAGATTATTAGGTTAATCTAGGATTTACACACACAAGCTTTTCTGCTTCTCAACAGAACACATTTTTGTGGCAGCAATTACTTGCAGTCAGGCTGTATAACTATTGGTCCCTGAACAGGGAGATGAGGGGAATGGAATCATTTGCGCTGTAAGCATCTTTGGTTGTAAGCATAAGAAGTCACTTATGCTACCAGAGGAAAAATTACATCTCTTGATGTTTAAGAGGTTCTGCTTACAAACCAGGGCAAAGCAACTTCTTGTCTTATCATACACCTTGCAGCACCTATACAGAATTTATTTTTTTGTCTCCATGGGAATAGAATTACTCTGCTGCTTTTAAAACTTGAAGGATTATGTTCAAAAGATTGTGTTTCCAAAGACTGTGTTTCTGGAAGCGCTGCAACTGGTCTAGGAATTCACAGTGTGTAAAGCACCATCCTTGCTGGTATTATATAAGGATAAATGTACTCTGTAGAGAGTTAACAGCAATTAGAGGTCCCTGAGCTAGCTCAGCTTCTGGAAAGCATCCAGCAATACAGCAAAACACTCATCAGAGGTTCACAAACCCTTACAGATCAAACCGCAGAGAGCTCCATGCAAACGTATTTAAACCAGATTTCTCTTAAGTGCTATGAAGTCAACAAGGTAAACACCCCAAGCAATTAATGAAGGGCTCATCGAGGTTGAGAAAATATGCCTTCCCTAGGGCTGGATTCACTGTATCTTCTATATCTAGCTAGCATGATGCATTACTGATGGAATTGAGGGTACAAGCGACTTTTGGGCTTGTTTTCCATCCAGTACTTTAATCTCAGTAATAAAAATCAAACTGACAGATTCAGAATCTCTTTCAGCACTGCGTTTATTCCATCACCACAAGAATCAGTAGTAGCTGGCTTTGTATGCATTAGCTACATGCTTTGTCTATCTCCTAGCAGTACTAGTCCCATTGCCAAAATAATCAAACTACCGGATGCACCACTTCTTAGTGACCTGCAGCACATGTCATACTAGAACTCACTTTACACTAGGACTGCTTAATAGATCTTGGAGTTGAACTTCAAGATGCTTAAAACCTGATTTCTTAGACTTAGGCTGGTTTCCAGCTTATGTGGGTTTGTTAGTGAACCATAGTCTGGGCAAATTTTCTCCTGCACTCTCAGGAAAAGCCCGTAGATATGAGGCCACGTGAGCATTTAAGACTGTCTGCTGAGGCAGTTCAGGTTAAATTCATGTTTCCATGCTCCCAACAGAGCAAGACCAAATATTGTGGTCTGTCTACTGACTGAGCAGCACATGCTTGAGTATCATTTCTATTTACAGATAGCATTATGAATAATGCCATACAAAATAAATTAGGTCACTAATGCAGATGTTAATCATCCAGTGCTTTGAAATCCAAATTTTTACACTGGAGACAAAGTTTGTTAGTCCAAAAATTCTGCCGAAAAGTAAGTGCAGTGATGGAAGAAAGTAGATAGCATACATAGCACTGTTTCAGAGCTACCTATATCTATCTTTAAGTTTGTACTTATGCTGCACTAGTCAGGAGGATTCTTAGGGAATTATGGAGATAATCCAGTTCATCCTCAAAGCATCTGCTTTGGTCTTCCACACAGTCATACTCAGCAAAAATTGCCTGGCTTTGAAGACTCAGCCAGAAAGGACAATAATTTTTTTTTCTTGATGACATGACCAAGCAGAAGAAACTGTTTTACATAGCCTTTCACTTGTTTCTTGGCATTCAGACTTTTCAATAGAATTCTGAATGCCTGGCTGAGATGAGGAAGACATGACCTTCAGCAGTTAGGGAAAAATGAACAAATAGATTTGATGATAGGTAGGGGCTGTGTGGTGGAGAAGGGTAATACTGGGTTTTGAGCAGACCTCTTTGTCAAACGTACATGGAATACACTAGCTAAGCTGTTTATTCTGCTTATTATTGTGCCAGATCAATTTCAGTTCAACTAGAGAGATGGATCAACCAAAAGGGAGTGGTAAAAGACAACACAGAATAAGTAGTTGCAAGACTAATAAGTAACTGCAAACTGTGATGTGAACACACTTAAACCCGTTGAATTTCGTATCAGTAACTTTACTCAACTATCTATAGTTTACTCACTGAGTTGTTACTCTTGTTGCCACAGTGTGTTATCATGATTCCACATATCAGGTTAGGTTCTATTAGAAACATGGAACAACCCTGTTTTTCCTTTTTTTTTGATCTCTGTCTTGCAACAGTAATTCAAAACCCATCCTAATGTTTTAAGTTATCCTTGTTTTCTTCTCCAGTTCTACTTTACTGGACCTAACAATAGGCCCATGTGTAAAACTTAGTACAGTGCTTACTGCGAGTGGGGAACTTAAAACGCACAAACCCACAAAAGTAACCCTAGGAAGGTGCATATCTCTAAATTTTGCCTTAAGTAAACAGGTTAACTTTTAAATAAGGACAAAATACTCTTGTTTCTAAGAACAGGAGTGCTACAACTCAATAGTACAGGACACAGCTCCTTGGAGCTAACTGGTCACACAATTCTGCCTATTGTAAAGGATGGGGAAAAAACAACTAAGACCTAACCCCAGATCTCTCATTCCAGGCCTCCTAAAACAAGAAACTGATCTCTTTAGACCATCTGTTCATGCAATACCATTGTTTATGATTGTGACATCTGACACAGTAACTTGTAACAGTAATTTGGAAAGAACAAACAGCCACTAAAACAACATTCAGGAAAACAAAAGAAACATACTGGAGAGCTAACAGGTGTTTACGAGAGAAGAGCTAAGATTATGGACTAAAACCTGAGATAGATTGGGAAAGCATAGGAAAATTGTACTTATAAATTATGGTGAATGAGCTATTTCATTTAAGCAAGACAGTATGTGGAGAACTTACAGCACCTTTAGCAGTCAGCCTGTCTACCGTTGGTCATTTGTAACTGCTACTGAAATAGGCATGATCTGAAAATGGTGCAGCTAGAACTTATTATACTATAGGCAAAAGAGGACTATGGCAAGCTTCTTGTCACATGATAAATTTTGGAGATACCTCTAATGGGCAGTCCTCTTTACCAGTGCTGATACTGTCTGCTAGAAACATCACTGGGAAAGGGATTCCTTGTCACTTTGTCACAAGGGTTCCTTCCTGATTCTCTACAAGCCACATCAGACAGCATTTCCTCACTTTATTTATATCACAGAGGTGTTAAAAGGTGAATGAGAAAGTCATTCATTAACTGCTTTAAAAAAACTTAAACCTTAAAAATCATAGATATGCTCATTACTGCACTTTAATTATCTTACCTGGTACAAAAAAATCATTCTCTGTAAACCAGTTGTATTCTAAGTGGATTCCCAGACGAGCAGCTTTTACAGTAACCAGAAAAACTAGGTAGACAACTGAAACCGTACCTGGAAAAGGCAAGAGCCAAATAAACACCATGAGGCAGCAGAAAGTATTTGTGCTGTGTTTTATTCCTGCTCCATCCAACTAGTTACCAGTAGCCCAAACATTTAGGGTTAGTATTCATTCTTAAAAATACAGGCTAGGTCTAAATTTTCTTTTTCTTTATTTCTTTTATAGGTCAGAGAGAAAGAATAATGCACTTGCACCCAATTCAAACTTTCAACATGTTTAATGTTCTCCAGACACTGCACTAGTGACAGTGGACGAAGTAACCCTGTAATCCCTGGTGCTGGGCAGGCAGGGAGGTCTAAAGGCAGTAACAGATCAGCCCAGGCTTCAGCTGTCAGGATTTTAATCCAACATGAGGCAAAGTCGGCCTTCAGCTATTACAACGTCCATTCAGTCGCTCAGTCGCTGACTTTTTGAACCAAATGGTCTAGTAAGACATGAAATTTTACTGCATTTGTGAACTTTACAGTCGGAGCTAGAAGCTGATAACAACATTTGCTCACTAATGATTTAAACCTTGTCTTGGTCATAACTTTGGATAATCTTTATCATAACACTACATTTGCATTCCATCTCGTTGGTTCAGAGGCATCCAGCAATAGGGTGCACAGCTAGAGGACTACAGATAAGATCACAGATGGATATAAATGCCTTGCTGTGTCTGAATGTGGGATGGAGAGCATATGATCTTGTCTCCTGTCATTTGAAAGATATAAGGGCAGAACAGTAACTACCTAGAAATTGAAGGAAACAGTGCAACGGTAATTAAGGCTACTGCAATGCAACCTCCCAGTCAATAATACTGCTAGTCACCCGAGAACAGGCTATAAGTAAGTAAAGACAAAGAAACAGCATTTTTACAGTTTAGAGTATGGTTTCAGGTAAGATGTCATTTCATTCTAGCAGTATCTCCAGGGTTAAAAAATAAACTGAAGATATTATCTTTTGGTCTCACAGAGAAGAATCAAAGTCATCAAAGAATTAGGAAGACAAAAGGTTCTACACTTGAGGATCAGCATAGCATATTCTGTAGTTTCCTAATGATTTAGGTTTCTGTAGGTGTAAAGATAAGTAAAAGTTCTGTATAAGATTCATTTCAGCATCTCAAAAATTGCTCTCCATTTTTTCTTGTTCTATAAACTTCAAAGTTTACAAAAATTAAGGCAACTTTGAACACCTTCTGAATTACATAATAACCTATTGAAGTTATGAGAAATTTCATATGTTAATATGCAGGTTCTCAAATAAAAAAAATAGTTGCCCACAATAATGTGCTTATTTTAAAAACACATACAATTACGGCTAGATCTCCCTTGATAAAATATTTTCTTATCCCTAGTGTTATATCTAGTCTACATAAAAACCTTACTTTCTATATAGAAGCACTAGCACTTACCCAAGTTACTGTGCTGTATTTTCATTTAGTGGTTTCAGCAACAGCAGATCCAAGCTCTAACTGTCACACCGGAACAAAGGACAAGGTACACTAGACCTTCAATTCCCTGTCCTCCACCTCCTTTATGATACATCTCCATCTTTTTCAACCTGTTCTGTGATCACCATCTCCTTTTACCCTTTCTCTTCATCATGGGCTTCAATGTTATGCCCTCAGACCTCTCCTAATCCATAAACTGTGACCAACTCCAGACATCATTCATGTGCTTTATCCACTCTACCAACCCCACATGCCTTGGTCTTCTATCTCAAGACATGGAAGCAAGAAGTCACAATTATTGTCCTTGTAGCATAGAACAGGCCAGGGTACTGGGAGCTGGGGCGAAGCACAGCAGCAGGTTACACTGATTGACTGATGTGATTAATCAATCCACTGATTGGTAGCAAATGACTTCAGGTCAGAAACAATTAATCTTTGGAAGTAATTGCCTGTGTTGAAATGTTTACCAGATGAGGAAGGGTATGCCTGACTGCTTGTGCCAAGGTAGTATGCATCAAATGCTGCATAGCAGTATGTGCACCACCATCTGGGAAAATCTGTTGTAAATATAGTGGGACTTCTTTTACAGGATTACCAAGGGAGCAAAGAAAAAAAAATTAACTCCTTATTAATTGTAAGGCTCAAGCAAAGCAGGATAGAAAGCCTGTGGGTGATTAACAAACCAACCAACAAACCACACTGAAGCACAATATGGGCTGCCCACAAGCTACCGGAACAGCGGCTGGAAAGCTGCCTGGCAGAAAAGGACCTGGGGATGCTGGTTGACAGTTGGCTGAATATGAGCCAGTAGTGTGCCCAGGTGGCCAAGAAGGCCAACAGCATCCTGGCTTGCATCAGAAATAGTGTGGCCAGCTGGAGTAGGGAAGTGATCGTGCACTGGGGAGGCCACACCTCGAATCCTGTGTTCAGTTTTGGGCCCCTCACTACAAGAAGGACACTGAGTTGCTGGAGCGTGTCCAACGAAGCTGGTGAGGGGTCTGGAGAACAAGTCTTATGAGGAGCGGCTGAGGGAACTGGGATTGTTTAGTCTGGAGAAGAGGAGGCTGAAGGGAGACCTTGTCACTTTCTGTAACTACCTGAAAGAGGGTTGTGGTGAGGTGAGTGTTGGTCTATTCTCCCCAAGTAACTAGCGATAGGACAAGATGAAATGGCCTCAAGTTGTGCCAGGGAGGTTTAGGCTGGGTATTAGGAAAAATTTGTTGACTGAAAGGGTTATCAAGCGCTGGAACAGGCTGCCTGGGGAAGTGGTTGAGTCACCATCCCTGGAAGTAGCGTAGATGTGGTGCTTAGGAATATGATTTAGCGGTGGACTTGGCAGTGTTAGGTTTACAGTGGGACTCAATGATCTTAAACGTCTATTCCAACGCAAATGATTCTATTCTATGATTCTACTCATTGGAGCAGTTTTCACCGTTTTATATACATTTTAGCCACAAAGAACCAATGCTTTAATAGTATGTTACCTACCTAATACATTAAACTTCGCAAAGAAGGATGGAGACTTCAGATTTAGCAGGGGTAGAAGAACAGCAATCAGGTAAAACGGTACTGTTTGTGATTTGTTCCACCACTCTTCAAAGAGTTCAAAACCTGTATTGTTGCCAGAAGAGAACGTCACACTCCTGTTCTGTGGTGGGTGACCGCTAGCAGCACTTGGACAAATGACTGGAAAAAAGGAAAAGAAAAATATCACCAGATGAAAAGGGTTCATGAGCAAGATCCCATAATTTCTGGAGAGTGTTTTACCTATGGGGAATAGGACCACTCAAAAGCAATGTTTGACAACTCAGTTCCCAACTTCTACTTGTTGGTTTGGTTGGGGTTTTTTGGGGGTTTTTTGAGGGGTTTTTTTGGTTTTGTTTTGGTTTGGTTTTGGGGTTTTTTTTTGTTGTTGTTGTTTGTTGTTTTTTGTTTGTTGTTTTTTGTTTTAAATCAGGAGTTCAGCACTAAGATTTCATTGCCAGGCACCTTTCACTCTAAGATGACAAGTGCTATGGTTCTTTCAGCCTTGCACAACAAAGATGCTAATTTGTTTGAAGCCTGAGCTGTGGCATAGGATCAGCCTTCAAGGTCACACACCTGTAAATAGGTGTGTTCAGTGCCCACAGTCACCTGCTGGAATCAAGACACAGCAATTCACCTCTGCATCTGGCAGAGTATTTAGCATTGTAATCTGTCCCTGCACACTCCATTAAGATCCTATGAACCAAGATACAAGCGCATCTGTGTACAGAAGAGCCTGTATCACTGTAGGTTGCTCTGGGAACACACAAACTAAGGATGCCAGGAAAGCTACTATAACTACTGGCAGGTCTAAAACTCATGCACTGAACCAAAACATCCTGTCATCTTGGTGCCCTGCCAGGTGCCAAGTACATCACTGCTACACAACACAACAGAAGCAATTTAAGATATGCACCCATAGCACTACCAAAAGGGAACATCACACTCCTGTTACATGGTGGCTGATCAATGGCAGCACCTGAACAAGTAACTGGAACAAAATGAACCAAACAAAAAGATCCCTTGATAAAAAAATGTTTATTTGATTCTTGTTAATATCAGCATTTCTTTCTAACACATGCCTACAAAGTTATGTGTTGAAATATGAACCTGTCTTATTGTTCTCATAATGCCTTACTTTAAATTTTGGCATCCCACAACACTTGATTGCCTTCATGCCTGCTGTTACAAAGGCAACGGTGTGAAAAGTCTTCCGTCAAATTTCTTGAGCGACCATTATATTATTTTACTTCCAGCTTTCTTATTGCTTTCTCTCCATTGCTTGTAAGAGGAATGTTTCACAGACCTTGAAAAATGCTTTTGTTCTTACTGATCTCCTTGGTAGCCTTGAATGCCCTGCCAAGAGTCATTTAAGCATCTGGCAGCCCTTAATTTTCTGAAGCAGCTGCTTCAAATCTTCCAGTTGCCGGAGGATGCTGTGGAATATTGTTGTGTACTTTGTCTCCAAGTTATACCCCCTGCTGCGTAAGAATAGGACAGAACAGCAGAAGCACGAGAGAGCACAAGGTTGTTGCTGCAGCAGCTATTAGTGCCTTGCTGGTAAGGACTGTAGGAGAAACAGGATTCAACACCAGCTCAAATACACATCAGCTGGTTTTCAGAAGTATTTCTCAGCTCCTTTGCCTGACTCCAACAGCTGCTCTCCAGAAACACGGCTGCAGCTAGTGTGACACACAGCTGTCTGGCTGGTACTGAAATGTTTCCTCACTCCTACAAGCACCCAGGATAGAGAAAATTTTCTGCTTCATAACAAAGTACTACATGTTCAGCTACTGTGTACAGGCGGAAAGATCAGAAGCCAACAATGCCTAGCTGCTGCCTTCATTCTACATTAGTCTGCCTACTTAAGAACGCTCAACAGACCGATCTTCACACTTGACTGTAGTTTCTTGCGTTCATTGTGCAAATGTCAAACTCTTCACAAAAGGCAAGCAGTCGCTCAGCTTATGTAGCCTGACACTTGTTTCTTCCTACGCTCAGCATCACTAAAGCTGTTCCTATTTTTTTCAAATAAGAACGTTGTTGCAGGGGTGGTCAGGAGCGAAGATGCACCAACCAAGATTTTAAACAGTAAACAGATCTGATGTGCCTCAATTTTAGGGTATGAAAGTTAAAATTACTTAAGACAATTCCTCATTGTGCAACTAGTGTTAAGAGGTCTAACATTCACGGTTTTAAGGAGGATCTATCTCAGTATACACAAACTCACAATTTGCTTTTTAATCATTATTCCCATCATCACTTTCTTTCACTTTCTTTTTTTTTTCCCCCCAGTTACTAAGCTTTCCAACTGTGTGGTTTTTTGTGGAAGTACAAATCCCAGATAGAAAATTACATTTAAAAAAAAAAAAAAAAGGTAGTTAGAACTGAGGATATACACTTTATAACTGGAATGTGGTTAGGCATGGAAATATGATTTGCCTTTAAACCCCCACCCCAAACCAGGAAACACAATACCAGTAAGTGCTTCTTACCTTTGTTACTTCCATTTGTGCCAGGAACAATCTCGGTTACATTAATGTCATGAACAAAGTCTAAAAAGAAGAAAATCTTGCTATCAATGTCCCGAACCTGCTATTAGGCTTTTATCTGTTGACTCGATAAAAATTAAGTAAGGAAATACTTTGGAAAATTGTATCAGAGGCGTATACAGTACATTGCACTCTCTCAACCCCAAGTGGATATTAAAAAACTTTCTTTTAGAAGTGTTTTAAAGTAGCCCCCCACTGCACTACTTTCTTCTAAGCAGCCCTGCCCATTTAAGAAGTTCCCAAGCCTCCCCTCCCAGCTGCTCACTCCTGTTCCCCCAGCACACCTCGGCTTGTCCCAGCTCCTCGGTCTGCAGTGTTGTACGGCAGGTTAGTCAGGCGATGCACCTTAAAACCAGCCTCTTTTGGGACAGAAAAAAAGGGCATCCAACCATACCCTTAGTCCAGATGCTATTATATGGAAAAAGCTTCCCCTACTCATTTGTCTAACTTTTTTTTCCAGAAGAGGCTCTGTGGGATGCTTTTGTATTTTAGAGGAGGTTATCTCTGGAAAAAGGTTTACGTCTCTCTGTCTACAGTCATCTCTAGTAGTATTTTGTTTCCACTACACTCCTGTGTTACTTTACTGCTCTGCCACACCAGATATTTCCAAGTTTCTGCAATTTCACCAGCATGGGAGTACTGGATAGCAATTTCCTTAAATTTATGTACATATACACACAGAAAATGCCCATCAGCTTGGAAATTTAATTAGTCTGTCTCTGGTTAAAATTTACTTGTGCTGCATGTGGGTATATTATGCACGCAGAACATCAACTGGGGCAATAGGCCTCAGATTTTTTAAACGCAATTAACAGCAGCTTGTTTCTCATAAAGAAAGCAAAATGTCTTGTGGGAAGAAAACTCTTTTTTGTTTCTTCATTTTGATTTATGACACCCTGAATTACAACTGAGTTTCTCACACTTACTGATGAGCTCAGTGTATACAACAATCAGAGGATTAAACTAAAATCACTCATCACCTCCTCACTTCATCACTGTTTTGTGTTTCTACTTAAAAAAAAGTACCTAGTGTGAAGCCATCAAAAGAACTGATAGCTCTCACAGAATTAGAGCACTTTAAAATTAGTTATAGATGGATAGCCAATTTATGTTTTCTCTGTACTTAAAGTGTTTTAGGAGTAGCAATTCCATTTGTGGATTTATTTGTTTCATAAAACAAAAACAGAAAAAAAGCTGTTAAAAAAAAGACAGGATATCATACTTGGCTTGCAGTTCTTGCATTCTTTGTGTACTACTAATTTCTAGACCATCCTCCCTTAGGAAATCAATTTGTTCCCACCTAAATTTTGTGTGCAGATTTTTAAAAAAGTAATCTGAATGCACTAGAATTAAATATAGTAGCCTGCTTAGAGTAACGCACGGCTGGAAGATGTCATTGTGTCAAACCTACATCCTATTACCCATTTTATAATTTAGTAATTAAGTAGCCACAATGAAAGTTAAGACAAGGATCCAATGATTAAAGTTATCACAGTGCAAACAACTGAAATAAGAACCCCAAACAAATACAGGTAAGTGATAAAATGACATGCCAATCTCAGGGAAAAGCAGGACTTTCTTCCTAGAAAATGAACGGTTTTGATCATCTCGAATTTTTCTTATTAGAATTGGGGTTATTTGGTTTAGGATAACTTTGGATTAAAGTGCTAACCTCATTAAAAAAAAAAAAGTCTAAAATTAAATGGCCTGAGCAACTTATGAATTAGGTCAGCTGTAAAATATACCAGTCATTAACCAATAAAGTAAAGTATGTCCTTCAGGGACGGTGGGAACTCTAATTAAACATTGTTTAAGAGGTGTAAGTGTCTGTGCTGTTATTTGCCTCAGAGCTTTGTTAATTACCTTCAAAACAGAAACTCTTAAACCTTAGTTGTGCTATTCAACGCTATGAGTCAGGTTTTCAAAGCTCTCAATTCCATCATTTATTCCCACAACTCTACATACCTAATTGATTGTATCCACAAAAGCTTGTGTGTCTGTGCACGTACAAGGGTGTAAACAACCAATATGTTTTCTTTTGTAGCAATGCCAGACTAAGAATTGCTCTTCCACTGTGCTACAGTTCATCGTTCCTTCAGGGACGCTTGTAAACACTTTCTACATGGCAGCACTCTAAGTGTGTTTGTTGAAATCTGGAATGAAACTCGATTTTTTTTCATTAACCCAGATCATTTCAACAGCCTAGGGTGTTATACAGCTGTTCAAATAGTTACACTCATGCAAATAAGAGCAAGTGAAAATATGAAGTGGAAACAAGCAACCAGGTTTGGGTTGTTTAAGCTACACCAAGAAAACTCATTACTGACATGCAAATCAGAAAATTGGTACTTTGTCTCTCAAAAGTGTGGTTTTAATGAAAGATTGAGAAACTGCCTTTGAAAACGCACATGATTCTTCCTATAACTCCACACATAGTTACTTACTCTCACTTGACTTTTCACACAAAGTAACAGAAAAATCAAGATGAAGTAAAATGGACAATCCTAAACCAAAGTCTTGATCTTTCCACAAAACACCTGTAAAAGTTAACCAAAAATATATACTTACTGTATATAAACTTTCCTGTGTTGAACAGAAAGTTGGACATAAGCACCCAATAAACAACCATGGCTCCAACAAGCGATACCATAGAAAATAAAAGGCTTGACCATTGACCAAAGGATCCAAAGTAATACTTGCAAACGTCTGGGAATTCCCAGTTTGAGGTATCTATTAAAGCTAGAGATACAAAAACCAGGAACATAACAAAATGTTATATTAGAGTCAACAGAACTCTTCATGACAGGATGTGTTTTTGTGTCATAATACTCTTACAAAAATTCACAGTGCTTCCAAGGGCTAAGACGACTGCTGTTAACTTTAAAGTATAACATTCATTAGGCGTGTGACTGAAGGAACCTGAAGAAGTAAGAGGCTTTTATTGTGGCCATACCACTACTTCGAGTAATTCCACAAGCACTGGAATAAGACATGGTAGAAAAAATCCAGCCATGCATTTGCAGCTAAAGCCTTTTGCAGGAGTTATGGCAAAGTAGGCCAGACCATGACCTAGTCCTCAAAATGAGTTGTCACAAACTGGAGGTCTTAACTGCCTTTAGTTGATCAAGTGAGGGGCTAGTTTATGCATAAAAACACTAACTACAAGAGCCGCAAGATGAGTTTTGAACAACAGAAGTACATTCTAAGTAGAACCACTGTCAGTGAGGCAATTGTCCATAAACTGCTTCAAACACAAAATGTACACAATTTTTAGGGTAGTGCAGGCATGCAAGCTACATCTACAAGTGGATGCAGCTACAGCCCATGCTGTTCCACTGTGAAATGCGATCAGAAATACATGTAAAGAACTGGACAGCGCTTATGGAGAAGAACGGGAGCCTCTAACTCCGTAAGTCCTCAAACACTTAGTGAACATCTGAGACCTTGCTAACAGTTTGGGTTTGGCTGTAATACTTACTTAGGTGCCAAGGAATTGAAGGATAATCTAATAAGGCAAGACAGATATTTAGCTTACAGAACTTAGATCCAGTCTACAAAATTAGGGAGACATTCAAAGGAACAGCTTTTATTTGTAGGTCGAGTCTAACATATAGTAAAGATACAGACAAACTAAGAATCTATCAGATCTCTGCATTTCACACTTAATGGAAACATTTGTGTTATGAAGCTTTGTTTTTCTTACGTATCATTTTCCGTGATTTCACAACTCTGTAGCAGCAATAGAGAGTCAAAATGCCCATCAGTAAGATGAGAATTATTCCAGAAGTAAAGCCTGCCTGTTAAGAGGGAGAAAAACAGTTTATTTATCAATAACGCTACAGAAAAATTAAGAGCAAGCCATGTTACCAAAAACATTTGCATACGCATGCATTTTTCATACTTTTACCTGTTTTATTCCCCATGGGATACTTAATATAGATGTACCCATCATTGTATTCCATATCATAAATCTAGGAAGAAAAGAAAAAAGCCAGTGAATAATTTAAAAAGCACTCTTATTTCATACTATCCTCTTAGCTACAATACTTATGCATACAATATAGAACATTCAATAATAATGCATTTTCTGGCTAATATATGGCAAGGTGCTTAACATACATTGTCACTATACTGGAGTTTTTACCATAGCCATCTGTGCAACTGTCAACTTTAAAAGCAGTTCCTAATGGACTGTACACGTAGATTTCTTCAGGAGCTGGAAGTACATGATCAGGAGCAATCTAATAAATGGATAAAAACCAAGACTTATTAGTAACATCAAAGTAACTGTTGTCTCAAATATAGCCAACTGTTGTAAATCACAATTTTTTCCCATGAAAAGTGTATTAAAAAAAAAAGTTGGACTACATTCATTTTCTCCCTATGAAAAAAAAAAAGCTGGTGATAGGATTTTTAGCTAGATAGCAGAAAAAGATTTTTCTTCTGCAAAATGCCTGTAACATACTATGCACAGACCATGCTAGTTCAATCATTGCAGCTGACCACTGCTTAAATCCTCTCATAGATGAGAGAAATGAGTACACACATCTAAGCAGCCTGGACCACTGTTACAAAATTCAAGCTGTTTGTATGTTTTCTGTTCTCTTTGGATGGTGAAGGCATTGTACAAGAAGTCAGTCTCAACCTGTGATAACACAAGACCTTGTTAAGGCATTCAGCTACTAGATATTTACTTCAAAGCAAGCTGCAGAGCAATTCTCCCACTACTTTTATTTGTGCTTCTTTTATAAACCTAGGCTGGGGAAGACCCAACATGCCAGAGACCTCTCAGTTAATCTGACCCTGTCTTTGCCTTACCAATGCCCTGTCTGCAGGAGACGTGAGTCTACTATAGTAATGAATCCGCTTATTCATTGCTGAAGCTTCATCAGTGACTCTCTGCATGTCATCGTTCACACTGACTATGTTGGTAGGCTCCACATGAAATGGTCTAAAGGAGGGGAAAAAAGAAAGAAAAACAAAACCTTTAAAACCTAGAACATAAGAGGTAACATACAACTCGGAGAACAGCTCAGTATCACTCACGATGAGTCTGTCGTTCACTCACAGAAAGCAAATGCAAAAATATCACCGCCATGAGGGACGCTACCACCCATGAAAGAATCATGTGTTTGTATCACCCATATTACAATGGCCTCTTGCCCAGATTCTGTGGGGCAACCTAACATCAAAATTCAGACCTAATATCCAGTCTATTAGTTCTCAACAATGAGTCACACCAGAACTACATGTTAATAAGCTTGGCCAAGCTTATTAGTGCTTATAACCAGTGTTGCCAGAACTAGTGATGAGGAACAGAGGTAGAAACAGAAAGCATGAGAATGCAGAAGCAGAAAGAAGACAGAGAAAAATACAGGAATGAGAGGTCATAACAAGGACCACCTATGAAAAGGCTAGGAACTACTAATCTAGCCAAAAACACTGCATGAAATTGTGTTCAATGGGGAAGGAATCAAGCCCAAATAAGTCCATGACCTCATACTATTTTTAAGCCAATGCAACCAGGAATGGAATTTGTCACAGAACATCGAGCAACAGATGTCCATTTGCAATTCTGAACTATTGCAATTCACAACTTCAACAGATTTAATGAGGGTAATCACGGAGAACAGGACTGTCAGCAGCAGAAGTCCTACATCTCTCATACAGAGATGTACAAAATACAGGTGGTCTCCCTTCCCTTTTTTCCTAGCTGAGTTAGACTGCAGGATGGTCACAGCCACTAAGCAACCACACCACACACCCCTTGTTTTATCTGCACACATGTAGGTACAGAGCAGAGTGAAAGCTGTTCCTAAAGTTACAACACAACATAAATCTAGTTTCATGCAAGGAACAGAGATATTCAACCTAATCAAGATACTGTAGATTTTTATTTTTAAATCAAGTATAATTTACTTCCATATAGGCATATTATACTATTGCCTAAATGTGACATCCAGTCCTAGCACTGACAGCCTAATTTCTCAAAAAAGAGAGGGGGTATTGGTGACCTGGAAGCCTTGATACAAGGTTTTGCCCTTTTTTTTTTTTTTCTCTCCCCCTTTCACCAGTGTTTTTAATTTCTAAAGCATTCTCAACAGCTTTCTAATCTTCTTCTTCAACGTTGATGTTTAAATCACTCAGAAACAAGAACCACCACAAAAGCAGAACCCACAGAAGTACCAATCACAACAATTTTCAGGCAGAAATTAGGTCAGCAATAAATCCATGACATTTTTTCTGTAATATGAGCAAAGCCTATCTGAATTGACAGTTTTTCGATACCCATTTCTGTCTCAGATTACAAAGGAACTTGGTCAACCCCTCCTGCCCCAGCTCTCAATACCGTGACAAAGGTCCCATTCTCTTTCCCAGTGAATCATTAAGCATTTGCACCATGGCACCACCTTCTATCTGGAAGACAAGGAATACAGCTCTGAAGCTGGTTGTTGTATCTTTGGAAGAGATGAAGGTACATCCTTATTTCTGTGTGCTTAAGGGGACACAGCAGGTAAAAGTATTTACGGGAATAACAAAAACTGACTGACAAAAGTTGAAAACAGAAAAAAATAACTTTCTTTTCTCCACATTAATTCTTGCCTTCATCTTAGATTTCATTAATTCTTACATCTTCCTTCATGTTAAAAATGGCTTAGATTTGCTAAGCTCTTTCCCACTTACTGAAATGAAAGTGAACACACTTTCAATTTTTAAAACATTCTCAATCAACTCTTTTTTTCCAAGTCTATGACATGAAGTGGGAAATCCCCATTTTGTATGTGCGCTTCTGTGGTGTTCTTATAAACAATTAAAAGAGATACCGCAATTAAACAAGAATAAATTTTAAGCAATAGATTTATTACACAAGTCAGAGGCACACAGGGCTAACTAATTCCACAGGTACGTAACATACAATACTCATGGACTGTCAGCTCTAAAGGACTTCACTTGTTTTGGCTTAAAATTTATTGGGCTGATCCAGTCATTGGACGCTTCTAACAAGTATTTCATTAGAAGACCTTAAAATAAAGACTAGTTATGAAAACAGTAAATGTAATATGTTTAAATGCCTCCCCACCCCCAGCCAATTCTCTGCTGTTTTCTTTTTGGATCCTGACACACTTTATATTTAGGACATGAAAAGTATGTGTTTTGCTAGTTATACGGCAGCTGCATAGTGTGAAGAGTTTCATGAGGACTACCTCTTTTCCCATCTCCAGTTAGTATTATTAGTACATCCTCATAAACTTCCATTGCTACTGTGCAAAAACTACACTGAGACAAAGTCTACATTTTGCTTCAAAGTGAGCAGATCTGTGGCAAAGATTTCCTTCAAAATGGTGTTCAACAACTGCTGACATGGGCATCAGAGAAAACTCTTCCAGACTGGAAGACAGTAGGAGATCATTTTTTAAAGTAATTCAAGTTAAAGCCATGGATTATTTTAAAATCAAAATAACAGAAAATGTGAATACAACATCCTGTTTTATGGGGAAAGCAGTATTATTGGTCAACGACCAAAAAAATAACAAGAAAAAATTTCACATGTAACAAAAATGTATCTGTTTGTAGCTGAGAAATTCTTTAGAGGAAGATACTTCATTTTCTTCAGTATTATGAACAGAGTATGGATTGAACATGCAATTTATGGTCCAGCACAAAACAGAAGGGTACGATCCAGAATCTAATCTACCAGTGAGAAAAAAAAAAATTAAACAACCCCAAGGAAATTCTATATATCTGTTGCTGCTGCTTCCTGCCTGGAGAAGTGCACATGTTTAATGCTGCCAGTACTTGGGCTAATTCCCCTCTTGACACCTTCTGGTGTACATTTGGTGAGAATTAAAATGATCTAAAGCAGAAATTAATTTTCTTTTTCTCAGGGTACCACTGCGCCTCTAGTCTTACTGAGCAAGTGACTATGCTAAAATAGACTGTCCACCCATCAGTTTTATGGTTGTTGGAGATCTCTTTGAAACCATCAGTCTGACTTGGAAGCTATGCGGACAGGCTGGGATGTAACCTTCCTTCCTGATCCCCAGCAGGAGAGGGTAGCATGCTGTCTAGGATCACGACCATTTCCCAGTGTGGCCCCTAGATACACTTCTGATCAGACTGGTTGTAGGGCATACTCCGAAGTCTGAGAAACACTCAAAGGCTCAAAGAAGTTCTCAAAGACTGAGATTTTCAAAGCCTTAAGCAGGTAGGATATAATCTGGGATGTATTGTGGAAAACTTTCTTCAGGGACCTTAAGTCTAGCAGACAAGCACTCCATACATGCAAGCATCAGCAGCTGCAACAGATTCCTAGAAAACTTGGTGATTTATACAGGCAATCACATCATATCTCGCATGTGGCAAAATGATTATGAAAAGTATGTGGGACAATGTGATTTGGAGGAAGGGGAGAGGTTACATGACCGGAGGGTGTGACTACCAACGCAAAACAGTGCAGACAATTTCCATGCATCGAGATAGACTATAATGTCCAATGAAATTATTTATATACATACTAAAAAACACAATTACAATTTATATTTCAATAGCTAGACTGAAAAACAATCTTCTCTTTACCACATCAAACACACCGGTAAAACCAGCTGTTTTCCACAGCACCATGAGTATGGACAAGATGCAGGTTCTCATGCAGGAAGTCCACACCTCCCATACACTACAACACCGCATATGTACTTCAGAAACTATTCCCAGCAAACCGGCAGTTACACTCATCTGCTAGTTATTTCTCAGTCACACAAAGGGACAGTTAATAAGAATTCCAGTGCTGGTCCAGGAAAAGAGAGAAGAGGGCTTCTGTCCAAACTTCCTCACATTATGAACTTGGGTAACAATTTTTGCAAGCAAAGAAAACAAAAAGAGATGTTCATGATTGAAGTTGTTTCCAAATATTGTGCTAGGCAAAGTTAAAATGTTGGATTTGGAAGGTTAGAGGGAACAGTACAATAGGAAAATTTGTTTGGCAAACTACATACAATCTTGCAACCACTAGCATTCATAAGGATGCTATATCTTTTTGTCTGGGTATTTTCAGCAATGCATTACATCCTGTAGAGCAATGAAGCAGTATGGCAAATATCTACCTCACAAAGTTTTAAACTAAATAGTACTGTTTTCTGAGTACTTTAGTGGAAATATTTTTACACAACAAGCAGCTGGTTCTGGACATCTGGACATCAAAAGTAGTGTTCTGAGTACTGAGCTGTTACAATATAATACAATTTTTCGTGTCAGTGTGTGTTTTGACTCTACATGACAGTATTAATGACTTCACGTTAGACAAACTTTTCATATTTAAACAAACACAAAAAACCCCACCATTTTAGAGGATGCTTAACAATTTCTTTTCTCTCCTTCAAAAAGACCATGAGGAGCTGTTGGACAGATTCTTTGATATCGCACATCAATCAGTTACTTTTCAGGGATGTGATAGGATTATTACACAGAAATAAAGCTAGTAAATTCCTAGGGCTTTACTGTTCTACTGAGTCACTAAATTATTACAGGAATGCTGTATATGGTGCAGGAGAAACAAAGGAGTAAAACTGATTCATTGTCATGGAAATTAAAGTAAGGAAAAAAGTAACAATAACAAGACTATACTCACAGGTTTGTATCTTTTAACTGCCTATCTGGATAGGAACATTACAGATGTCAGTGCATTTCTCTTAAGGAAACCTGTTCCTAAGAATTCCACCACTAGCTTGATTTTTATTTTCTAAACTGTCTGAATTTACATAATCATTGTAAGCAGTATGCTTCCAGTTTATCTTTATTCTCTTGGTGATACATTTGACTTACACTTTTTCCACATTTGTATCACCGTTGTCATTATAACGATTACACCATGACCACACAAGTATCTTAAAATGCTGGATGCAGAACCAAAATAACGTTTCAGAGCACAATACTAAGCCACCTCTGTTGCTCACAGGATACACATTTTAACAAATAAAGAATCACAAGCTTTACCATACCACATTTCAAGCATTGTTCCCTCTTCTGTGTCAAAGGCAAAGCTGTTCTACTCCTCTCTTACAGAGAAGTAAGAAGGTTCTTAATTAAGAAGGTTCTAATTCTTCACAGTTGGCATTAGTAATATTAGTAATCAGTAAAGATGTTAGTAACATAGAAAATGAAAAGCTGGCAATGGAGTAGAAAGACCATCTGTGTGTGCAGCAGTAAAAGCATAACGAATGCAGAAATGGTGGTTTTGCACAGGTTAGTCCCGACCACTGTCTACCTTTTTGTAAGTTAAAAGAACTTTGAAAATAAAAGGGAACCAAACACTTTTGCATGAAAAAGGCTTCTCTGACTGCCATCTACAGACACTGTTTAATTTATAACTGTTTAATTTCACCTACTGATCTCTCCCACATTGTGTGAGAACACTACAGGACTTCAAAAAGAATAGAAGAAGGAAGAAGGCTTGATCTCCCTTTAGCAGGGGGCACTGTCAAGTTTTTTCATATGCAAAACAACTAACAGAAAACATCATTTGTTTCTTTGAAGGTTTAAGTATTCCTGAAGACAACTGCAGTATCTGTTGACAATAAATAAATCTAAAGAGCAGTTGGAAGAAAAAAAAGACACTCCCTCTCTTGCATACAATAATCATCAATAAACCACTGCAGCAATGACATTGTAGTTTTTACAGGGACCTACAGAATGGGCAAAATGCACCTAATACGGTAAGAGTAATTTGGGTCATTGTGAAGAACAATAACATCCTCTTTAAGAGGATTAAAAGTGGCTTTATATTTTCCCCAAATTAGCAAAAGAATACTACACAAAATAATTTACAACTCTAAAAAACAATTAGCTTATTGTTCTTATGTAAACACTGAAAAGCATGCCTTTCAAAAATCTCAAATCCTCCAGGCTGTTAAGAAAAGCAAGTAACTATGTAAATGCTGCCAAATCTCAAACAACCCAAACAAAAGAACAGAACAGCACTAAGACAGACAAACAGTGATTACAACCAAATCACACAAAACACTTCAAGAGCTATCTCAATAAAAGTAAAATGACCACCCACCAACGTCCGATCAGGTTTCTGTACAGTGAGTTAAAAAAAGGAGCAAACTAAGAAGAACAAATCACATACTATTGCCCTTGCACTGTTTGATATTTCTATGCAGGATAAATCTCTCTCCCTGGAGCTGCTACTCCCTAAAGCTCTAATGAAGAAACCATTCAAACCGCCCACTGCTCTGATCACGACTGACACAGACCCTGGTGAACTGTTCCTCCCCATTCCTTTTTCTAACGACTGTGGCTGTCTCTCCTAATACACAGAGATGAAGTTCCACCGTGTTTGGCCCCACTATGATTTCCAGGCCTTCCTGATATCCCAGGGCTCATGCCCTTCATCTTTGTGCCTCTGCATGCTTGGAAGGCAAAAGACTAGATTGTAGAAAATGGGAGAACGAAATCAAGGGAGGAGCAACAAGGACAAAGCGGACGGATCTGCAAAGCTGGAGGTTGTGGAGGTGAGAACACAATCTGAGTACATGCTTCTGCTTTTGGGGACGGAACAAAACACCACATGCTATGACCTTTTATGAACCCGAGTCTCCAAATTTAAGAAATCACAAGGAAAAAAAACCACACAATGAGGAAACAATACGTAACCTCACTCTTGAAAAGTGGATCTTGGCATTTTGACATATCACCTTCGTGGTATGTCACAAAGCAACTTCTCTTGTTGCTCCTGCATCACAATGCCACCTGAATCACAGAATCATTAAGGTTGCAAAAGACCTTTAAGATCATCAAGTCCACATCAATGCAACACCACCAGGCCCACTAAACCATATCCCAAAGTGTCACGTCTACACGTTTTTTGAACGCTTGCAGTGATGGTGACTCTACCACCTCCCTGGGCAGCCTTCTCCAATGTTTGACCACTCTCTCAGTAAAGAAATTTTTCCTAATATCCAGTCTAAACCTCCTCTGGCGCAACTTGAGGCCATTTCCTCTCATCCTATCTCTAATTACTTGGGAGAAGAGACCAACACCCACCTCAACACAACCCCCTTCCAGGTAGTTGTAGAGAGTGATGAAGTCTCCCCTCAGCCTCCTCTTCTCTAGACTGAACAACCCCAGTTCCCTCAGCCGCTCCTCATAAGACACGTGCTCCAGACCCCTTACCAGTTTCATTGCCCTTCTCTGGACACGCTCCAGCACCTCAATGTCCTTCTTGTAGTGAGGGGCCCAAAATTGAACACAGGATTCGAGGTGCGGCCTCACCAGTGCCGAGTACAGGGGGACAATCACTTCCCTATGGAATTGATGGAAATCCAATGCATTCCAAGGAATGAAAACCCATTGCTCCACTTGAAACCATGCTCAAAGAGGACACATACTTCCTCAGACACAAGGAGCTCCCGAAAGCCATACAAATTAGCAGTCATCTTATGCCAGGAGGGCCATGAGGGGCTTAGACACTCCTTGTAAAGAAGATAAAGCAAGAATTCATTTTGCACATTTCCTTTCCCATCTGAAAGTATTATATGGTTTCCTAATCTTTATATACACAATTCTGTATGCTACTACAGCTGTGCTCCATTTGTTCCCCTGGGTTCACTCAGATACCTGTCCTCCTTCCCCCCCTACCTACAAGTAAGTAGGCTCTCATGGCTTTCCACAGCTGCAGGCTGAGGCAGCAGCAAAACACTATGAAGGACTCTTTTTTTTTTTTTTGCTGAAGTGGACACCGACAAGAGGATTCTGTATACAACAGTGCCATCTTCAGTTCCTTCAGGAAAACTGCTCTATTGAATCTACTGATGCTGGATGCAAAGAGCAAAAAAAGCGCCATAAACAGGGTCCAAGAGGTTGCACGCAGCTGTTCCTTCACCTACAAAAGCAGAGTTGGTGCCTCCAACTAGCATAGGTTAGTTCCCACTCTGATCTTAGTTTCGGTTCCAGGACCAGCTCACAGAAATCTTAAGTCTCCCACTCTAATCTCCTTTGGGGAACCGAGCTCTTAAACCCTAAGAAAACATGCAAAATCACCACTTGGCTAGATATGCACTTCACAGGCATAGCAAAAAGGTTGGGCTGCTGAATTTTTCGTATTTGCTCAATCTTAAAAAATACTACAGTTTTTTTCTTAAAGGCCATACAGGTCACTCAGTTCCCTCAGTAATAGCAAATAATGCATTTTTCCAGCATCACCTGCAGAATGGATGCAGAGACATTTACACATACTGACAGTCATTGATCTACACCATCTGGCAAGCTTTCTTGCATAGTCTCAACATTTCAGTTTGTTTGCTAAATAAAAAACATCATGCTTCAGTACACACACACACAATATTCAGTGTTTGAAGAGCACTTTTTTTAAAAGACACATGCCAAGTTCTTATTGGAGCACTCTCTCTGAAGTCATGTCAATAGAAAAGTCTTATCCTTATAAACAAAACACAATATGAACATCTGTTGGAAATAGTATCACATAGAGACAAAGTAGGAATCCTTTGTACTCAGATCCTGGTTTCCAAATGTTAAGTCTTCTGTCTTTGTAGGATTCTGTTGCTAAAAGCAAAGATTAAAAAACTCATTGCAGTATTATCATTCTGTTGGTTCAGCCTTCCTCGTACCTTTTGCACTTAAAATCTTCTGGACTGAACTGTATATTCATGATTCCATAATTGCTTTCATCGCCTCCAACAGGAACCAAGAGAGGTTTGATATCCTCTTCCATATTTGGTGAATGTGCCACCTTCTTTTTCCTAAAAAAAAGGAAACAAGACAACTGCAGTTAAGTAAAACTGTGTCCCTGCTCATCGTCCCTGAATTTAACACTGGCAGAGTTCCCCAGCTTCAGATGCTCCTGCAGTGAAAACCACCAGAAAATCCCTTTGACTTGCCACTTGAGAATTCTCATTCCATAATGCAAACATCACAGGGCAAGTACAGCAGGGACAGTATTTTTTACCACACACCAGCCATTCGAATAGTCAATGTACAGTTGTGCGCGGAATCTTTTTTAGCACTGTAACAGGCAATATAAAGTAAAGGAATATGATGGATGCTGTCGCTCATACTGGGACTGAAACAGGTTTGTAAAGTGGGGCTCGGCATCTGAATTTCCTTTGAGCTACCACAGCTAAGAACCACACCTACCATGTGCAAATTAATGTTAAGTATATTCATATTTAGGTCTTACCTTCCTGCTTTCAAAGCATGGGACTCCTTTTCTTACTGATCTACTGTTAAGACCAGTATGATTTTTAAAGGAGCTGTATTTCCAATTTGTAACAGTACAGCTGAGAACAATTTATTACAGTTATTAGAGACTATTGTTTCACTAAATTACTTCAAACTGCAGCAGACACATACAGAGTTTTCCAGTTTATTTCCCAGAATAAAGAGCAGACTATTGCAGTCTATTATGTCGAGGCTCTTTGAATTAAAGGCAATGAATGGTTTAATAATGCATTAATAATAACATAAAATATGCATTCAGAGCACTCCTAGCCAAACAATAGGGAGCAGATCACTTTTAAGCTAATGGAATTCTACTTAGACTGAATTACAGTCCTCACATGGGACTTGGTATGGTCTTGTGTGCAGCTGAACAAACACAACGGCTTTAACAGGTCTCATCCCTGCTACCTCCTGAAGAATTCCTCAGCCAGGACTCCTTCTTCAAATAAAAATGGTAGAAGTATCTGCTCTTTCAGGGGGACCGATTCCCGATTCTTTAGAATGTTAAGACAGAAAAGAAGGGTGAGAACCAGAGCTGGCACAAGATAAGGAAGGATGACACTGGATGTTTGAAACCTGGGAATGGCAATGGAGGAAGGCAAGACAGAAAGAATGAAGTGTGTACCATCCTTCTGCATCCTCATGAAATACACCGTAAAGCCCAGTCCCAGAAATTACACCAACCTAAGTCAAGCACTGACATGACTCTATCCTTTCCTAGCTGCATGTTGCCACTCCTCTTGCATTAGCTCATCCTGCTAATGCCTCCAGAAAAATAACAAAGAACCTGAAGGAGAGGATGAAAAAGGAAGGAAAGTTAGGAGTTTTCAACCATGTCGACTCTCTGGGGTTCAAACAATTGCTAAAGGAGGAGCAGGAGAACACCAAAGGAGCACATGGGAGGGAACTGCAGAAGCACCAAGACTGGCTCAGCCTGCTGACCAAGTGCATTTTACAGGACAGGCACCCATCCCCCCTCCCCAGCCCAGTGTGCCGAGCACAGGAAATGGCTCTCTGCTCTCACGGGGAGGTGACCACCAGAAGGTCCATTTGGTGGAAATACTACTGGAAACACTAGTCCTGTCCTTGACTGCTCCAGTGCATTTCTGTAATCCCACACTAAACTGGAGTGGGAAGACTGATCCAGATGAAAAGTAACCATTCTTTCCCTTGCTTTAAATCCAAATCAGTGCTGAGCTTGGGGTTTGCTGTCTGGCTGCACGCACTTGCATGCTTGTGCAAAGGAGGGGATAGTGCATGGGTGAAGCCATTTGATCTGGCAGTGCTGCCAGTTTCCTCCTAGCTTCTGCATCCACAGCAAGAGATTTGAAAGAAATTACCAAGTTTAAAGGCATGATTTTGAACTTAAAGGCATGGTTTTCTCTTTTTCATTTTAGCTCTTTAAGAGGACATAGTAAGCTATCAGTGATAACCCAGGCAATCTCAAGAGCCTTATTTGCACTCCCTGATAGCATCCTCATTCTCTCGCACTTCATTTTTTCTGTCACATTCTCTAAAGCATTTTTTTCCCCCTCCTCTTTCCAGAGCCTTTCCAAGATGGTGCTTCTCTTACCTACCTTAACTTACTATCTCCTCTCTTCTAATATTCTAGCCTTTCTATAAATGATGAGTTCAGATTTTTCACTGTAAAGCCCTCCCTTCCACATCATCGCTGCTGGTCCTTTGGCCTCAACTGAATGTCTTGCATTCTCTCATTCTTCTCAGCTCCTCTGGTGATGCTCAGCTTTTGAATTCCTGCTCCTCATTTCCTTTGTTTTTTGTCTCTCCTACAAACTGTCAAAATTGCTTTCCAAACCTGCCTTTACTAAGCACTGTTTACAAAGAGATTTTTTAGTTCACAGCAGTATTTTTATTTCCTTTCATGCGTCACTCTGTTCCTTTCCAAACCCTGTTTACAGTTTCCCTCTTGTTAATTTCTTTCCTATTGATTTCCCTTATTTTTCTATAGCTCTAGGTCACCTCCTTCCTCCCTACTGATTTCCTGCACCTTCCCACTGTTAAATTCACCCCAGTGCACATTAACTTCCTCCACCAGCTAAGTTACTTCTGAAACAAAACCACAGGCCCCAGAGATTTCATGCACTGCTAGATATCCACATACATTTCTGCCATTCCCATTACAAAACACTTTTTGCATCCCTCTGACCACACCTGAAGACAGCAGCCTTCATCGACTTTCATTTTTTGCTTTTAATTATCATCTGTAGAGTCTGTAGCCTTTTTCTTTCTAAGACCTCACCAGTGGTCTCAGGCAGAAGACTGGTAATGTGGTATTATCTTATTTTATTCCATTCTTTTCTCTTTCTCACCTCAACATCCTGCATGCTTTTTCTGACCAGATAAACCTACGTCTCAAAAACAGATCCTTCACACGGTCTGCATTTTGCAGCTCTCTGAGTTTAAATCACATTTTGGATTTAGCCATGAAAAAATTCCTTACGGCTGACCTGAAATTCAAAAAAACTTCAAAACTTCAAATACTCAGAAGTCTTTTTAGCCCAAATTTTCCAGAAGACTGTGGTACTGAGGTACCTTCCTTCCACAGTCCCTGGTTTACGGTGCAGATTAAGCAGACATCAAATGCTAATTAAAGATACTGCTTTGAACGCTTCTCTTCCTTAAAACTTGTTGTAAATAATGTATTTGTGCTTTACAATTCAATCTGACAAATGCAGACAACACTGATAACCAGTTCAATTTTCTCTGCACTATGGCTATAAATAAAGAACTCAGAACATTTTACAATATTCCGTAAAGAAAAAGAATCCTTCCAAAACATTGCATACACTGAGTTTGGCTTGACAGAATGATTTGGGTCTTACAGAGTTGTTGCTTACTGACTCCTTAGGGCCTACTTACAAGCTGGATTGGCGAAGACAGTTTATTTTTTAAGTACTTATTGTTGAGGACAGGTGAAGATTGTGAACAGCAAATTGGTTACTTTACAAATAGATGCAGCCATCACATATTTAAAGGCTACAGCTGGAGCCAGTATAGTTTAAAAGACAATTGTAAGCAAAAGAGCAGAATGAAGAATGAACATGATTAACCTCTACTTTTACCTAATTTCTACCCCTTTTGGCTGGACTGCATTCTCAATAAACATTTAACACAGGGATGGAGCCAGTTGTGCTATCTGAACTTATTGCCTGACAGCTTCAATTAAAATAATTTCTTCTCAACTGCTTACTTTCCTAGTATCCTAGTTATCTGAAGACTTTTTTTTATACTTGGTATCTGATCCATGTTCACCTCATTCTAGAAGTTTCTTTTAAAAACGTGCGACACGACATGCAGTATTCTTCATACAGTCTTAAAAGCCTATAATCAGGACTGGGATGTCAAACACAAAGAATTCATGTTGAAAATCAAAGTTGCTTGACAAACTTTATTCTGTTTGTGTATTTTATGATACACCGTGGTTACAGTTTCCATGAGGCCACTGTGGTATTCAGAGAATTACTATGGATCTCTAGGAATTAATGTATGGCTGCTTGGAAAGGGAGAAGGCTGTTTTAAGGATATCTGACTAATTTCTTGTCAAACTGGATTTTCCTCCAAATAAGAGAGAGGTTCCTGCTACATGCAGTGTACCTGGAGTTCGCAATATGAATTCACGACACCTTGTCTTCAGCAGTGCTATGAGTTAAAAGCATTGCTCTTGCCTGCTGCTCATTCTCACAGTCCTTCCTCCCCCTATTTGTGGTGGCACAACTGTCTGTCGTCTTTCTTGTCTTGGTACAATGAACAAGACTGGGGAAGACATATGGCTAAAAAAATAAATCCAAAGAGGAAGAGAATTGTTTTGGATCTGGTTTGGGGTTGTCTAGGTTGCAGTTCTACAGAACCAGCAATTTCACTGTCCAGTCGAAGAGACACATGTATGATTTGTGGAAGAAGACAATACTGGCAGAAGCATAACTAAAACCACAGTCTGAGGGACCATCTACCGCTGTCAACATGTTCCATGTTTTTTCCTTCTCTTTAGAACCTACTTCATGTAATGCTACAAAACAAAAGAGCATTTGTGCTGTGCACCACTAAATGTTGTTAAGTATTTTGAAAGCAACCAAGTAACTCTCAAACTGAGCATTCAAAATTAGTGGATTTTTTTTCCTGTGCTTTATTGCTTATCCTTAGAATAAGGATAATGCCTTAGCTCATAGACATGTTGTGAAGAGAAATGAACTTTTACTGCAAAAAATGAGGAACAGTTATGGTTTGTTGAGTAGCAAGTAAGATAGATCAGTCTCATGCCAAAGTGAACTGAACACTATCACTTTGCTTGCTCTGACAAAACATTCCATATTGAGAAGTCTCCAGCCTGAGAAAAATAACGACTTAAGTATTTCTAATCGAGATCATAATTTGTATGTACCAAGGTGACTAAGATTGCCTAGGAAATTTTAATTTTCATTAAGTTTAGCTAAGTTTAATACTCCAACCTTTGAATACTTCAACTTTGCAATCTCTGTCCTTTTAAATGCAGGTTTCT